ATAAAACTCCTGAACTATAAAGATAAAATTAACATATTAAAGAATTCAAAAAAGTTAAAAGGAACAGGAATATTTATAAATGAAGACTACTCTTTGGATACCCTAACCATACGTAAAAAACTCTTTGAAGAAATGCGAGCTCACAGGAATAACGGTAAATATTCTGTCGTTATTTATGATAAATTAGTAGTTAAAGATTTTAAAAAATCTCATAAAAATGCTTAAAGTTTATTTATTTTTTGTATATATTTTTTGTAATTTAAATAGTATTTTTATTTATTATTGCTAAAATGGCGGAAGCCAGCAATAATAATGTTTTTGACATATCAGGAAGGAAAAACACACTAAACCGAAGTAATGACGATGATAAAAATATTAACATTTTTGACGAAATTTTAGTAGAATCGGCTTATTACAATGTTGACGATGTTAATCATGTTCTTAATTCTTCATCATCCCATTTTTCATTATTACATTTAAACATCAGAAGCATAAATAAAAACTTTGATAATTTAAAATTTATGTTAAATAATATAAGTAACAAGTTTAGTATTATCTGTCTGACTGAAACTTGGTGTCATCGAGACACGATTAATTCTAACTTTCAATTATCAGGATATAAATCCATTCATCAACCTAGAGTAAACGGCATTGGTGGGGGCGTATCAATTTTCGTCCAAAACTCATTGACTTTTAAGTACATAGAAAACCTCAAAGTAAATGACGTTGATTGTGAGTCATTTACAATTGAAATAATTAATAAAACAAATAAAAATGCATTTATAACAGCATTATATAGACCACCTAATGGTAATTACAATCAATTTGAAAACCACTTAAACTACTTGCTACCAAAGCTCATAAAAAAAATCATAGGTGATTTTAATTTGAATTTTTTGAATTATAAAACAGATAACCACGTCGTGCGTTTTACAAATACACTTTTGCAGTACAACCTTTTCCCTATGATTAACAAGCCAACACGCGTGACTAAAACAACTGCATCCATTATCGATAATATTATTACTAACAATTACACAAGCGTGGAATGGCAAAGTGGTATTATTAAAACAGATATAACTGACCATTTTCCAGTTTTTCTGAGTACATATTCTGCAAACCCTGAGAAACATACAAAAACAAAAACTGTATATGAAAGAAAAATAAATAATGAATCACTCGCCACGTTTCGAGACCTCTTACAAGAAGTAAACTGGAAACTATTGACTGATTGCAATGACGTAAATAACGGCTATGAATTTTTTATTCACGTGTTCACTAAGCAATACGAAAAGGCCTTTCCAAAATTTAAAAAAATTATTAAACCTAAAAGTTTGCTTAGTCCGTGGATGACGAAAGGACTCATTAAGTCGTCAAAAAAGAAACAAAAACTTTACCAAAAATTTCTTAAAAAAAAGAACTACAAAAACGAAATAAAATACAAAAAATATAAAAATTATTTTGAAAAATTAAAAAAGCAATCAAAAAAAAATTACTACTCTTCATTACTTAATAAAACATTTGGCAATGCAAGAAAAACTTGGAATGTAATTAAAGAAATAACAGGCGTGGGTAATGTAAAAAAAGACAATTTCCCAAAAAGATTACAAAGAGATGACAATTTAGGTGATGCTTCTGTAAATAAAGAAATTGCAGAAACATTTAACAACTTTTTTATAAATATAGGAAAAAAACTAGCCGATGCAATTCCGGAGGGAAAAAAATCATTTAAATCCTTTTTGAAAAAATCTGATTTCTTCATGGATGAGTCAGAGCTTTTGATTGAAGAACTTCGGCAAGCGATTAGTATGCTTAAATCAAATAAAAGTGCGGGTCTGGATGAAATTAAACCTGATGTTGTAAAAGCTGTCTCTGATATCATAGAGAAACCCCTTTTCATAATTTTTAATCTATCCCTAAAAAACGGCATTTTTCCCGACCAACTTAAATTAGCAAAAATAATTCCAATATACAAAAGCGGCGACGACTCAATAATATCTAACTATAGACCGATTTCCATACTTTCCTGTTTTTCCAAAATATTAGAGCGTATTATGTTCAACAGGCTGTACAATTATCTTGAAAAAAATAATATTCTTTATCATAAACAGTTTGGTTTTCGAAAAAACCATTCTACGGAACATGCCGTAATTGATCTTGTGAACCAAATTTTACAAGGTTTTGAAAACAATTGTTACACACTTGGAATTTTTCTAGATCTATCAAAGGCATTTGATACTGTAAACCACAAGATTCTTATCTACAAACTACGTAGTTACGGAGTAGTTCACTCTAATTTAAAGTGGCTTCAATGTTATTTAGAAAACCGTAAACAAGGTGTACCATATGATCTAACATGCTCCCCATTTGAATCAATAAGTTGCGGAGTTCCACAAGGATCAATACTTGGACCTTTATTGTTTTTAGTTTATATCAATGATATTTTTTTGTCTTCAAAAATACTTAATTATACTATTTTTGCTGATGACACTAATGTTTTCTTTTCTGACTCAAATTTAAAAAATATTTTTTATTATGTAAACGCTGAACTAATATATCTTAATGAGTGGTTTATAGCAAATAAACTATCATTAAATATTGAAAAAACTAAATATATTTTGTTTGCTAAACCATCTCAATCCGAGAACCTTCCACTTAAACTTCCAGAACTAACAATTAACAATATTAAAATAAAAAGAGTTTTTTCAATGAAAATACTAGGAATAAATTTCGATGAACATTTAAATTGGAAAAGCCAAATAAAGTTAGTCGAGAACAAAGTTTCAAAGACTGTGGGGATTATGTACAGGACAAAACATCTTTTGAATAAAATATGTTTAAAAAACTTATACTTTTCATTTATACATAGTCATATTAACTATTGTAATATTGCCTGGGCAAACAATCATTCATCTTTCCTAAAAAATATTTATACTAAACAAAAGCAAGCAAGTCGATTAGTTTTGGGCGCAGATAGGTACGAAAGTGCCAAGCCGTTACTCAAGGAAATTAATGCGCTAAACGTATACGAACTAAATATATACCATAACTTGTTATTTATGTTTAAACTTCAAAATGAACTAATTCCAAAATATTTTTATAAAGGTTTCTCTCTAATTAACCATAAATATGAAACAAGACACTCAATAAATAATTACTACATCCCACCAACATCACTCAAAAAATCTGACTTCTCAATTACATGTCGGGGGCCACGCTTGTGGAAGTCAGTTCTTGACGAAAATATGAAAAAAATAAAATCTATTGATATATTCAAAAGAACTATAAAAAAACACTTACTAAACTCAAACATTACATACATTCTTTCATTTTTTTAAAAATAATATTTTTTTGATAAATTTGATAAAAAGCTTTTTTTTTTTTTTTTTTTTTTTTTTTTTATATATATATACATATATATCTTTCTTGTTTGATTTTCTCTTTGACTGTTTTTTTTTTAACTTTTTTTAATAAATACTAACAAATGAATTTAAATCTACATAACGTTTGGAATCTTTTTAATATATAAATATTTTTGAATATATACTTCGCTTTGTATTGAATATGTATACGTATATGTACTGATTTGTAAAAAAAAAATTCAAACTTTTTAATTTACGCATTGTATACATTTTTATTTTTTTATTTCGAGATTTTATTATTATTATTATTATTATTTTTTTTTCTTTCTAATTTTTACTTTTTTTAATTTTTAATTTATTTTAAACTTTTTAATTTTTTTCAATCTTTTTACTTTATTTCAAACTCTTTAAATTTTTTTTATTTTTATTTCAATTTTGTTTGAATGTTTGTTTACTTTTTCAAAATTTTTAATTTAACTCTTTTTTATATTATTGGAATTTTAGAAATTTTATGTTTCTCTATTTCACAAAAGGGCTTGATGATAAGACTTTATGTCTTCTACTTGCCCCTGTCAGCTTGTAATTATATATATATTTATTCGAATTTAAAGATAACATTGTAAAATGTGTAAAACGACAAAATAAACTAACTAACATATTTGAAGCAAATTTTAATACTGAAAAATCACAGATTATTATCAATAAAAATAGCAATATTAGAATACAACTTGATGATGACTCTATAAAAGATCTTCTAGGTTTTAATAATAGAGATCGTGATGGTAATCTTATAACATTTGACTCATCAAAAGTATATATTTCAGATAAAGTAATAGATATAAATCATGTTAATACTATTCGTGTAACAAATAGTCTTGTAACAGGGTCAATTATAGATGGTGTATATTCAAATGTTATATATTCATTTTATCCATCTACGCCAGTGGGTTATAAAATTGTAGAAGTACCAAATAATCCAACTTATTATAGATTATTATCAAAAAAAATTTGGGATATGAAAACAACAATAATGGATCAAGATGGACATATACTTACTTTACAAGGGGAACCAATAAGTATTGAATATGAAATAAAAGAAATTGTGTCAAAATGTAAATCAGAACATCTTTTAGAAAGACAAGTATATATTTTAGAAGAACAAAATGGACTTTTAAAAAAACAATTAAGATAATATCAAAGTGAATTAGATCTCTTTGAGACCCAAGAATCACAAAGTGATTTAAAAAAATATATATTGTAAATAAAATGTTAGATATAAATAAAAAAGCATATACTCACAAGTATGTAGTAGGTGGAAGTGGAGTATTTACAGATATAAATAATATGTATAATCAGGCAAAATCTTCTGATTTTTTTAGAGCATTATCTGGTATGAAAACAATGTTAACTAATCATTTTAATAAAAATGGATCTATAATAAAATAAGTCTCTTTGAGACTCAGGATCGCTAAAAGCGATCTAGCAAATCCCATATTCATGCAAGCGATTTGGCAAAGCCCAGATCACAGAGTGATTTAAAAAATATATATAGTAAATAAAATGTTAGTTATAAATAATAAAGGATATACACACAAGTATGAAGTAGGTGGAAGTGGACTATTTACACCTTATATAAATATGTTTAATAGGCAAGCACTAAGTAATGCATTTAATGCATCTCGTATTTTAGCTAGTAGAGCAGCTGCTACAGACTTGGGAAAAACTGCTGTAGATGCAGCAAAGTCAGCAGGGAAAGAACTTGCAACTTCTGCAATATCTACTGCTAAAGAAATTGTAATAAATAAAGGTAAAAAATTAATAGAAAATGTAAATAAATTATCTAAGCTAACACCTGAAAATAAACAAGAACTTAAAAATTTAATAAATACTTTAGATAATAAATTAAATGAAGCAGTGCCAGATATTAGTAAAATCATGATGGGGTCGTCAATAAAAAGTAAAGAATACAAGATTTAGTTAAAAAACATAAAGGCGATGGGCTTAGAATAATATAATTTTATAAATAGCTAAAAGTGATTTAAAAAAATTATATTGCATATATAAAAATGGTAAAATCTGATATATTTAATATTACTGATAAATTAGTATATGACGAGGAAATTAAAAAATATGAAGAATATGAATTTACACCCTCTGTTAATTCTAATTTAAATTCAGGAGAAATAAGAATTTTTATTGAAAGCTGTGATTCTTTTTATCATCCGCATAACTCCTATTTAGAAATTGAAGGAAGGCTTGTAAAAGCAGATGGGACTGCATATGCAGATGGAGATGCAATAACACTAGCAAACAATGGTATTATGCTTTTATTTGAAAGAATTGAATATAGATTCTTTGATCAACCTGTTGAAACAATTAATTTTCCAGGTATAGCAACTACAATGCTTGGATTATTAAAATATCCGAATGACTTTCAACAATCAAAAGCATTAAGTCAATTGTGGTATAAAGATAATATAACAGCAGCAGATTTAGTTAATAATATAGGATTTTCAGCAAGACAGCAATATATCATTAAAAAACCAACTACAAAAGGTAAATTTGAAGTTAGTATTCCATTAAGACATATTTTTGGATTTTGTGAAGATTATGATAAAGTTTTTTATGGATTAAAGCATGAACTCTTTCTGTTAAGACAAAGCGATGATACTGCAATTTTTAGAGCTGCTGGTGTAGCTGCAGGAAAAGTAGATATTACAAGAATATCATTAATGATGAAACGTGCAACTTCATCTATGATAAAAGAAAATGAACTTGGTAAAATAATTACATTAAAAGAAATACTTGATTTTGGTTTTAGATCAAGGTACTTAAATAAAACTAATGTTGCACAAAATACTTCATTTGACTGGAACTTAGGAACAAAAACTACTGAAAAACCTAGATATATACTTGTTGGTTTTCAAACAAATAGGAGTGGAAATCAAGAACAAAATGCTTCAATATTTGATCATTGTGATTTGAGAAACATGTGGATTGATATTAATAATGAAGAAAGATATCCTGCGACTAATTATAATTTATCATTCCCAAATATGAAAATTAGTAGAGCATATAAAAATGCATCCAATTTTGCTGAAGATTATTATAATATGACTGATCTTATTAGTCTATGTGGTATTACTCCTTCAGACTATAGAGATTTATATCCTATTATGTATTTTGATGTAAGTAAACAATCAGAAAAAATGAAAAATAATATTGCAACTATTAATCTTCATGCAGAATTTAATACACCTGTTCCAGCAGGTACTGTAATATTTGCTCTCATCATTTCAGATAGAATAGGAAAACTTACTTCTAATGGAAATAGATTTATGTTTGAATATTAGGTTACAAAGTGAACAATGCTATGCTAGGTTCTGAAAGAACCCAGACTTTTTTAGGTCTTTAAAAAGACCAATAGAAACTAGGTTAAATGCTAAAATAGAGGAAAGAAGATTTATTATTTTAAAAAAGTATATGCAATAAAAAAATACTATTATTTAAATTATTTGAAAATAATTTAAATAAATTTTCTTTATATATAAAAAAGAATGAGTGATAAAATAAAATATACGAAAAAGTATTTATTAAATTTATTAAAAGATAATAATATACAACAAACATCTAAAGACCCTATGGCATTAGTTATGATTGCTATGGATCATAATTTAATTGATAAAGATTCTGTAAAAACAAATATCATTACTAAAAAACAAAAAAAACCAAAGATTGAAAGAGTTAAAAGAGTTAAAAAAGAAAAAGTAATAAAAGAAAAAAAATCTGCTGGAAGACCAAAATTTCTTCCAACAAAAGAAAAAAAAGAAAGAGATCCTAAATATGATTATCTCACAACAATTAGAACAGATCCATGGGGAATTAAACTTACTAATATAGAAACTGGTGAAGTTAAAAATTACAAATCATTTTATGACTTTAATAAAAAAGAAAAGCGCTCTAAAACTTATATTTTTAGTAGAAATGGGAAGATTGTAGATGGAGTAAAAATTGAAATAATTAGAGCAAGTAAAGAAAAAGATGCATTATCACAAAAATAAAATATATAATGAAAAATAATTATTTTTATAGACTTTTTCTATAAAAATATAAAAAGAAATCGTTTTTTTTGTATTATTTAATTTTCTTTACATAAAAAATAAAAAATTGAAAATGATATAAATAATTTTCTTGTATATATAAAAATGGAAAATAGAAACGTAAAAGAATTAAAACAAATCGCAAGAAATCGAAAAATTAAATATTATTATAGAATGGGAAAAACAGATCTCATTAGAGCAATTGATCAAGCAACTCCTATATTAGATATGCCTATTCCAAATAATATTACACAAAATACTTTAGCACCTACACAATATGTTCCAGTTAGTTATATTAATACCATTAAGAACAAAGTGAGTTCATTATCTAATTGGATTATGGATTTTGTTCCTGTACACCTTAAAAAGACTGCAAATGATAAAATTAAATCAGTAAAGTCTGCTGTTTCTGATTTATATGGTTTAATTATAAGTAAAAAACCAATAATAGAATTTAAATTAACACAATCAGCTATTAAAAATGTAACTAAACAATTTTCAGCTGAAGGAGTTGAAAGAGCTGATGCTTTATCTTATATGAAATCAGCTAAAAATAATGTATTAAATATTTTAAATAGTAATAAAGAATCAAAAATCTATATTGTTCTTTCATGTGAAATGGAGCGTACTGATCTTAAAACAGGAGAAACTATAACAACTATTGCGTCAATTTCAACAAAAGCAGAAGTCGTATTAGAGTCAACAGATTTAAATGAATTCTATGAAAGAGCTGAACAGAAAATTTTAGAATCCTTGTCATCATTTCAACAATTAGGATCAAGTTGGAGATTTGTATCAGTTAAAAAGATGGATATAAATATCATTGAATATAAGCCTATTAAAGGTAAATCTTACATTCCTCTTCCTAAAAAGTTGGCAGCTAAAAAAGCAATTATTAATATGAAGAATGAAGACAACGAATGCTTTAAGTGGTGTGTTGCTAGATTTTTTAATCCTAAAGATGATCATCCTGGAAGAGTAGATAAAGATTTAAAAGAACAAGCTAAAAAATTAAATTGGGAAAAAATAAAATTCCCAGTATCACTACAACAGATTACTCAATTTGAGAAAAATAATCAAAACGTCAGTGTTAATGTCTATGGTTATGAAAATTCTGCTTATCCTTTAAGAATATCTGAAAACAAAAATAGGCAACATGAAATAGATTTATTACTCATTTCAAATGATGAAACCAATCATTATTGTTTAATAAAAAGTATAAGTAGACTACTTTCATCACAAATATCTAAAAATGAACATAAAATGTTTTTTTGTCGAAATTGCTTGTTAGGATTTTGTACTGAAGAATCTTTATCAAAGCATCAATTGTATTGTAATACTCATGATTCAGTACGAATTGAACTTCCAAAACCAAATACAATGATTAAACTTAATCATTTTAAAAAATCTATGAGAGTGCCATTTGTAGTCTATGCAGACTTTGAAAGTTTTATTAAACCAATCAACACTTGTACACCTAATCCAAATGAATCTTATACAAAGCAGTACCAAAAGCATACACCTAGTTCATTTTGTTACTATATTAAATGCTTTGATGAAAGTGTATATCAAAGTAAACTAGTTACATTCACTGCAAGTAATGAAGATGAAGATGTAGCACAAAAATTTGTTAATATGCTAGAAGAAGATGTAAAAAAGATTTACAATGATTATTTAAAATTTCCAAAAGATATGATAATTACTTGTAAAGACAAAGAAGAATTTAACAATGCAAAAAGTTGTCACATTTGTGAAAAAGATCTTAATGAAGATAAAGTAAAAGATCATTGTCATATTACTGGAAAATATAGAGGTGCTGCGCATAGTGATTGTAATTTACAATTTAAAATTCCAAAATTCATTCCAGTACTATTTCACAATTTATCTGGTTATGACTCTCACTTGTTCATAAAGAAATTGTCAGAAGGAGGAAAATTAAATTGCATTCCTAACAATGAAGAAAAGTATATCAGCTTTTCTAAAGAAATTAAACTTGATGAGTTTACGAATAAAAAAGGAAAAAAAGTTGAAATTAAGAGAGAGCTCCGTTTTCTCGATAGTTTTAAATTTATGGCTGCTAGTTTAGATAGTTTAACTAAAAATTTGTCAAAAGATCAATGTAAAAATATTAGTAGACACTATTCTGGAAATGAACTCAATTTATTGTTAAGAAAAGGTGTTTATCCTTATGAATGGGTTGACTCTATTGATAAATTAAATGAAACACAACTACCACCAAAAGAATCATTTTATTCAAGACTAAACGATGAAGGAATAAGTGATGAAGATTATTTATATGCTCAAACTGTATGGGAAAAGTTTCAATGTAAAACATTTAGAGATTATCATAATTTATATAACGAATCTGATGTATTATTACTAGCTGATGTCTTTGAAAATTTTAGAGATGTATGTTTTAACAATTACAAATTAGATCCTGCTTGGTACTATACAGCACCAGGATTAGCTTGGGACGCTGCGTTGAAAATAACTAAAGTTAAATTAGAGTTGCTAAGTGATTATGACATGGTTCTTATGATTAAAGAAGGAATAAGAGGTGGTATTAGCATGATTTCTAACAGGTTAGGAATTGCTAATAATAAATGTATGGAAAATTACACAAAGACTAATAAAATATATGAGTATAAAAGTAATATTAATGATAATAAATGGATTGATGAAATAATAGATAGAGGAATACAAGGCAAAAAAAATTTAAAATGGGAAATAAGTAAAACACCTCCTACACCTGGTTTTGAATGGTTAGATGAAATGATGTCAACGATCAAGCAGGGAATACAAAGTGGAAAACCTTGTAAATTAGAAAATATAAATAATAAAGTATCCGAGTCTACTAATAATTCTACTAGAGTATATGGATCTAAAAGATCTAATCACATTGGTGAAGAATATAATTCAAACAAGGAGTCAACATACATACAATATTTAGATGCAAACAATTTATATGGATGGGCTATGAGCAAACCACTTCCTACACATGGATTTCAATGGATGAATGAAGAAGAATTAAAAAACTGGAAATCTATTTCATGTATATTAGAAGTAGATTTAGAATATCCTGAACACTTACATGATTTGCATAATGATTATCCTCTTGCTCCTGAAAGATTAAAAATAGACAAAGTTGAAAAATTAGTACCTAATTTAAATCACAAGAAAAATTATATCATACACTATGAAAACTTGAAACTGTATGAAAGATTAGGAATGAAAATAACAAAAATTCACAGAGGAATAAAGTTTGAAGAAAGTGCATGGTTGAGTAAATACATTGAACTCAATACAAATCTAAGAACAAAAGCAACAAATGACTTTGAAAAGGACTTTTTTAAACTTATGAATAATTCAGTGTTTGGAAAAACAATGGAAAACATTGAAAACAGAGTTGATGTGAGATTGGTTTCTAAAAGAGAAGAAGCTATTAAATTAACATCAAAACCAAATTATGAAAGTAGTACGATACTTGATGAAAATTTAATTGCAATACATATGAAAAGAACAAAACTAAAATATAATAAGCCTATTTATTTAGGCATGTGTATTTTAGATTTGAGCAAAAAACTAATGTACGAATTTCATTATGATTACATAAAAAATAAATATGGAGATAAAGCTAAACTATTATATACAGATACAGATCATTAATCTATGAAATAAAAACAGAAGATTTTTATAAAGATATTTCTAATGATATTGAAAGTAAATTTGATACAAGTGAATTTAATAAAGATCATCCAGCTGTTCAAAATGGATTTAAAGTTGGTGTAAATAAGAAAGTAATAGGAATGTTTAAAGATGAGTCAGCAGGAAAACAAATTACAGAATTTATAGGACTCAGATCAAAGTTGTATTCTTACAAAATAGATGAAGAAGATAAAAAGAGATGTAAAGGAGTAAAAAGAAATGTAGTAAAAAATTATATTACACATGAAGATTATAAAGACTGCCTGCTTAGCAGGAGAAATCAGATGAGAAAAATGAATGTCATAAGATCTCATTTACATGATGTTTATACAGAAGAAATAAACAAAATAGCATTAAGTGCAGAAGATGATAAAAGAGTAATTCAAGAAGATGGTATTCACACATTAGCATATGGACATTATAAATTAAAAGAGAGTAAAACATTGGTTCCTTCGGAACTCAAACCCAACTTTTCATTTCAGATTGATTGGAATGAAAGTGATAGAACTGACAAACCTAACTTTTCATTTCAGATTGATTGGAAATAA